GTGGCTCAGTCGTCTGAGGGGGCACAGGTGGCTCAGTCGTCTGAGGCGCCGCGATTCGCTGTGCAGAGTTGCGTCCCTTGGGCACGCCAGAAACCAATGATTGTGGGTTCAAATCTTGGTTCGCCTCGATTATGTTTCTAGGTTTATCACCGAAGTGGTAAACGCCGGAGACCTGTATCACTTCGGTCTTTCCTCCCACATTAAGCTGACACGCCGTGATATAACTGGAATACTGTTAAAAGCAGTGTGAAACCCAACCCACTCACTCACTTTGTTTAAGGACAAGCACAAGTCATGTATTTTATAAACGTTGGTACTGTATACAAAGTGATATATTTTTGTGTGTGTTCTACTCGTTGCAGGTGTTTTCTATTCCCCTGGGAGGTATGCTGGTGAGACAACCGTTTGCTATTGGTGGGTCCGGCAGTACCTATCTGTACGGCTATGTTGACTCTCAGTTCAAAGTGGGTCTCTCCAAGGAGGAATGTCTGCAGTTTGTAGCAAACGGTAAGCAGTCTGAACTCAGAGTCTAGTACATTTTCTTCTGGTTGAGTACGATCAGTTTATACTAGTCCACATGCTGAGACTAAAATCCCCTGAAAATAACGACAAGTTTACAGTCCTTGTAGGCTTAAAACCTTTGGGCACCGCTCAAGTTGGAAAGTAGCATTAAGAAGCTTTGACCATACCTACTGTAGCACCAGCTGTTGGTAGTTCAGCTGCAGTAGTTTTTGGTTTGGTGTTTCATTTTTCACCACGCTCAAATTCCAGCTATTTGACAGTGGCCTGTAAATAAAAAAATAGAGTATGAAAGCTGTGATTGGTATAGTGAGCAACGCCCCACTCTGTCTGGACACAATGACATGCCATCACCAATGCAGTACACCATTTAGTCTCTTTTATTGAGACGTACTCACAAACACTCTGTCTCCAGTAATTTATGGCAAGACCTGTACCCGTGGTACCAGACTGTTGGTAGCTAATTGAAAGTAACGCCATCAGTTAATAGCTACAATAGTAACTCCTGCAGTTTACAGCTTTTAGTAACACAGACAGTTAGTAGCAAATTTTAGTAACAAGCTGTTGGTAGCTATACATAAGTGATTTGTTGCTACTGTAAGAAATACAGTTGTTAAATTGGTCAAAGGTAACTGTCAGTAACATAGGTATCCTATCTTGACCAAATATTCATTTAAGTTAATGGTTCACAAGTATTTCTGATATAAATCAATGTTCACCTTGTGATATTGTATGACGCTCCTATAATTTTCAGTGTATTCTATACTGATTGTCCAAAGTGTATTTGTGATTTTTTGTGTACTTTCAGCTTTGTCACTTGCCATGAACAGAGACGGTTCCAGTGGTGGGATTGTCCGCCTCGCCGCAATCACGAAGGACGGAACTGAACGATTCACACTAACAGGGGATCAGATCCCCAAGTTCTATGAGGGCCATTGATCTTACTCCTGTAACTTAAATCTGTATCATAAATTCATACACGTCAGCCTGTCCATGTTGTTCCTGTGAAGAGCTTTGTGCTATGGTTATAAACTGAGATAAAACGCTGTAACGTCCATTATGAGTTTGTTGATTATTTCACTGTGACTTCCTGGCATGACCCTGTGGGGATTCCCTGTTCGTAAAGGTCACCAGCAACCTTAGTCGTAAGAGGCAACCAAATGGATCGGGTGGTCAGCCTTGGTAACTTGCTTGATTATGTCGCCTTGCATCCCAACATCGTGGATTTTTGTTCATGATATCAATCATTGGAATGTCTGATCGGGATTGGATATTTACAGGCCGCTGTCACATACCTGCAATAAAGCTGAGTGCAGCATTAACAACAAACAAAGGGTATTTCTTAGTATGTTGTGTCAAGCTGCAGTCAGCTATGTTCAAGCTTTGTCAGTGACAGGGCAGTAGGGTAGCCAAGTGGTTAAGGCGTTCCCTCGTCACATGAGGCCCCAGTTTGATTTCCTACATAAGTTCAATATGCAAAGCCCATTTCTGGTTTTCTGGTTGAAGAAATGTAAAAACTCAAAGTTGTGGTGGTCACTTGGAGAGAGTGTTGGCGGAGAAGGAATGTCAGTATGAACTCACAATGCGAGGAATGTTAGTGGTTCACTTCCCCAATCGTATCAAGAGTCATTAAAATATAATTGTTTCCCTGCCTGGTGCTCCCCAAACAGGAGATAAAACAAGAACTAGTCAGGTCTGAGTCGGTCACAACATAAGTGAAATACAGGGATGCCTGGAAAGTTCTGAGCCTCACTATGGGATGTATGGTGCACTATGAACAGTTTGCGTGTCTTAAGTTCAATACTTTTCATTCTAACACACTGCATTTGAACCCAATACACACCCAGACAGCATATATCTGCAGGCATCAAACTGACAAGGTATTCTCTATTGAAAAAATGGCCACTGCGCTAACTGAGAGGGATCATCCCATACCCGTGCTTTCCTCCCACATTAAGCTGACACCCGTGATATAACTGGAATACTGTTAAAAGCTGCATTAAACCAAACTCACTGACTCCAACAGCCATCCATGCGGACATTGTGTCAACTTTTGGGGATGATGCTCCTCCTTTTGCCACTGTTAAGACGTGGACAGCGGAGTTCATTGGGGGAGCCACGAATATCATCCAAGATCAGGAAGACCTGTACCTGGCACGAGTAAGGAGAATGTATTATGATTATGGATGCTCGACGAGTCACCACACATTGAATTCCCAAAGCAGGAGGCATCTCTCACGAGACAGTTGATAACATTCTGACTTCTGACTCCTGATGATCCTAACTCCCATACCTTAACATAGGCTTACTGTAGTCTTAGCGCTGACATCGCTTTGTGCAAGGGGCCCTGATCAGAGCAGCTCCAGGTTCATCATCACGCGTGAGAATTTACTTCGTTTTGAAGCACACCCAACTGATTTTGTTGAGCGATCTGTAACCAAGGATGAGTCTTTGATTCACCACTATGAGCCAGAGAGTGAACAGCAGTCCAAGTGGTGTCATCATCTCACGTCTCCTTTGAAGAAGGCAAAGTCTGTCCAGTCCGCTGGCAAGGTCATGGATTCTGGCAAGGTCATGGCTTCTGTGTTCCGGGATTCCAAAGCAATCTTACTGTTGGGCGGATACCAGGCGATTCGTACCAGCGAAAATGGCCAACCCGTATAAACTTCCCGTCAGATTCGTACCTGTTTTGGGGCATTCGTACTTTATTTGGCTGACCCGAACACAAAGTTTTACGACCCGTATTCAAATTTGGACGACCTGTACCCATGCTTTTTCATTTAATCCTATACATTCATTTTACAATTCAAACATTCGTTCATTATTCATTTCAAACATCCATTCATAAAACATTTCGAATGTTCATTTATTATACAGTTAAAACATTCACTGGTGGTTAGTTAATGACGAATGGACATGATCAGTGACACTAATTAATTAACTAACTACTAACTAACTACTAAGTTCTTGGAAGTCGGCCTGTGTGATAAGAAGGTTACACTGTCGGTGATTGGACTACCCATGTGTTGTTATATGAAACACAAAACAAACAAGCGTTTTAACGTGGCGTTCAAGGTAACTGCACTTATATACATGTAGCTAGGTGCATGCACGTGTGTGTGGCTACTTGTACAAGTCCAGACTATTTATGCCGCAGTTTAACGTGAGTGAGTATGGTTTTACGCCGCTTTTAGGAATATTCCAGCAATGTCACGGCGGGGGACACCAGAAATGGGCTTCACACGTTGTACCCATGTCGGGAATCGAACCCGGGTCTATACTGACTCCGAGGCGACCAGTCCTTGTTTGTAGTTCCTTAATGCCGAGCGCTAGGCAGGGTAACAATTTTTGAGCGTATTTTGGTATGACGCGCCCGGCGATCGGACCAACGACCTACCACACTCCGGGCAGACGCTCTATCCACTAGACCACGGAGGCACTGAACATACTCCGTATTCACCTGATTTTTCACGGTCACATTTACACCCCTTCCCAAAGTATTACGCAAATAATGAAAACATCATTTCGGCTGTGGATGATTTTTTACACAACCAGGAGACATCCTTCCACACCAGTGGGATCCAGGCACTCCAGCATCGTTAGCAGATATATGTGGACCTCGGATTTTTTTATGTTGAAAACTGATTAACAAGGAACTCCACCAACGCGGTCCATCATTTTAATCCCAGAACTGTTCGGCCACTCTCGTAATCTTGAACCGTTTCACCTCACAGTGACGTGTGAGCTAGGGGCCACGGGTGGCCAAGTCGTCTAAGGCGCCGCGATTCGCAGTGCATGGTTGCGTCCCTTTCGGCACGCCAGAATCCTGTGGGTTCCAATCCCGGTTCGACCTGATTATGTTTCTAGGTTTGTCAGCACCATACCCGTACTCGTGGGTTTCACCGAAGTGTTAAACGTCTGAGACCTGCATTACTTCGGGCTTTCCTCCCACATTAAGCTGACACGCTGTGATGTAACTTGAAATAATGGTAAAAGCAGCGTAAAACCATACTCACTCACAGTGGCGTGTCAATAGGATTTGGCAAGGTAGACTTCAGCATGAGCAATGATCCACGCTCTTGAAGAAACACAATCAGCCCGAGTACAAATGCTAAATACCCGATTCTTATGTTAGTAGTTTCTTAAAACTAATTTTGGATAATTCTTTGCCCGACATTTAGAAGTTGGAAGAACGTGAAGATATGTCACGTTTATAGATAACATCTTTATTGTTTGAAAGGACGTTTAAAGGGCTAAATCGTGTCCCTTCACGTGTATCTCTTCATACTCTCTCGGCTCTGTTAAACGTACATTAAAGTTATCTGATTAGTATCCGTTTTAATAATATTCTATGGTTTATATTTCTTTATGGTTCATATTGACCCCTTTCTCTTTTGGCGACTTTGGTGATTTTATGAGCGATTCGTACTTTGGTACAAACTCGTAACAATGCGTGGATACACAGCGACTCCTCCTAAAGGGCAAGTAACTCACACGGCCTCGCAGAGGTAAACATGTCGGTCACATTTTTCGAGGAGAAGTGTTTTGATTGATTTTGCGGAATCGGGCCTTGTCTCGAAGAACTTGAAATCAACAGGCAGGTGTTACATCTAACTCTTCATCAGTTAACGTTGCCATAATCGAAACGACAGAAGTCGTTAATAATAATATTCTCACGTTTAGTGACGATCACTGTCGATCATCGACTCGATGTGGTGGTGATAATTGAAGTGTGACATTTCTGCCTACCGACTAAACATAAGAAAATGAAAAAAATGAGTTGCTCAACTGTTTGAGAACTGTTAACGGTAAAACTTCCGCCCATATCCCCCTTAAAAAATACATGATAAAAAGGACTGACCACCAATGCATACATACATAACTTTTGGAGGGGGGATACGGGTGGAAGTTTTTCCAGCAGGATAAGTATAGATCTAAATGATATTTTTAACCTAAAAAAATCATTTACATGGCCCCCTGCCCTTGCTGTATCATTTTTTTATTTTCATCGGCTCCCCCTCCCCTATAATGAATTACCAGAGGGAAGGGGGCAAAGATTTTACAAGAAACTACAACCTGTTATTATATAGATCAAAGTCATTGAAAAATGACATTCACTGCGTTCAAATATGGATCCAAAGTACCCTAATTCTTCTGTTTGGCACACATATAAAAAAGCTGTGGTTACCGTATCTCTGTGCTGTTCTCTTGACACTATTTTGATGTTCACTTTTCACAACTAATTGGATCAGATTTGGATCTATTTGGAAAACACTATGGGACAGCCGGGAGCACTGTGTAGCAGTCTGTCAAAGTCAAACTTGTTTATAAGTAGCAGTACAGCACCTTAGCACCAGTTGCACTGAATTTCTGTCCCAGCTTCAAGTCTTAGAGGCTAAGATCTTGTGTAAGGAGGTGCTTTAGACTTTGTGCAGCAATCATAATCTTTCTGTACGATTAACAGGCACAGATGGAAGATGGCCGAGCCTGATGATTATGATGATGTGCCTGACCAACTAGACCCTGAGTGTGCTGATGTTCTTCATCAGGTTAGTGCTGCTCTTAAAATACAGCCCCAGGAAGATCCGAGTTAGAAGTCTTTATCAACCCATGGTTGTTGTATGGGGCTTCTAACAGGATCAGATTCGCTGACTTGGTTGATGCATGTCACACGCCGCTTTTAGCAAAATTCCAGCAATATCACGATGGGAGACACCAGAAATGGGCTTCACACATTGTACCCATGACCTGAATCGAACCCGGGTCTGCGGTGTGACGAGCGAACGTTTTAACCACTAGGCTACCCTACCACCTCCATCATGCTTGGGGGCTTAGGTTCAATTCCCCACATGGATCTATTGTGTGAAGCTCCCTTAGTGCTACTGCTGGGAAATTGGAAAATGTGGAGTAATACCAACTCACTCACTCACTCACGTTACTGTGTCATCAAAGGCTGATTACGTAGGTCAGTGTTCACACTATCAACTGGTGCTGGGACCATACACCGGTGCATCTGTGGATCGCAATTTACACACTAAGTAAAAAGTATTGATTCTTACCTTAAAGGGGAAGGGTACACGCAAAAATCACTTTCTTTCTTTTTCTAAACAAAACGCAATTTTAGAATTAGTTAGTATCTGTGTTTGAAAATATACACTCATTTTTTCTCACAGTGAAAGTAGGAAGCTCACAATAGTGTTAAAATGATATGCCGTTATGAGGCCTTCGTTTTACGAGCAAAACAGGCCTGAGTTATCCCCCTTAGATTATGACGTAATTGGTGCTAATTCAACTGGGTCCCTGTCTATTCTCAACACAAAAGATATCAAGGACCAGTTTTTATGTAAAACAACATGGTCTACGACACACTCCGGCGCAGTGGTGACTCAGTATAACACAATTCTGGCTGGCATCTGAGACGCTAAAATCACAAAACTGTACCTACACCACGTGAAGCGGCTCTAACAAAGCATGATGACGTCATAATGTTTATCAATTGGCACCAATGACGTCATATTGCAAGGGGCATAAGCCATGGTGTTTTTGTTATGGAAATAGAACACTTAGTAAATGTGAAAAATATAAATCGTTTTAATGCAAAAAATATGTTAATTAAATATGATGTTTTTATATTTTTGTCTATGACACTTCTATGTTAACACTTTTATGTGGAAAAAGTACAAGAAAAATTGGTTCATTTCCGTGTGAACTTGCCCTTTAAATGTTTGCTTTGATAACCGTAACACTGAACAACTAGTAATGAAATTTTACAGTGAAAATGTAAATATTTTCATCCGTTGTGCCATACCTCAAACTGCCGACTGGAAATCAGGTATTTGGCCATCCTGTCTAAGAAAAAGGGACCACAGATAAGAGCACATGCAAGTATCATATCGGATCGTAGGTAAGGTATCGTGATACATACTGGATCGCAAAGTTGGTGTATTGTCCCAGCCCTGCTATGAACCACTGGTTTGTGTTACTACAGGAGCAATTATTACCTGTTTCAAATTTTAAACTTTCATTTTTGACTGTTGGTCTTCATTGCAACACTATGTTCCAGATTCTGCAGGCCAAGGATGGAGAGCCAAACAAGTTCCAGAGTTTCTGGGAGAATGATGAAGATGATGTGAACGAGTTCACACAGGAGGAGATTGAAAGTGAGCTGTAGAACTGTCAGGGGACCTCTCGGGGTTCCTCTCAGGCAAGGGTGGAAACTGGACTTTTAAAGTCAGTTAACTCTCTTGCCTCGGGAAGATGCTCTCAGGGGAGCTCTCAGGGGACTGCAGGGTCATTGGAGGTCCTGTCCCTGTCCTTGTCCCCGGCTGCTATTTTGCCGTGCTGAGTTACCTCCCTTAATTATGTTAATCATGTTAATACATTTAAGGATCGGATGTCATAATGGTCACGAGTGGCCCAAATGTCTAAGGTTCTGCAATGTGCAGTGCAGACTTGCGTCCCCAGGGGTAGAAACTAACAGATTCAGTCCACTAGTCCTTATAATGAGAACATATAGCAAAACCCCCAAAATGGCAAATTTCTACTTGCCTTATGATACCTTTGCTATTGGGCAGATTGGCAAGGACTACAGGACCAGTGCCAATTTCTAACACTGGGACTCCCTTTGATGTGTCAGGATTAGGTGATCATTGGTTGTTGCAGCAATTTTATGATTTGTGTGCTCTTGGGTTTCACCAACGACTTTCCTCCCACATTAAATTTAAGTCATCACACCTTGATAGAACTGAACTGTCTAACAGCATTAAAACAAATCATTATAAGTCAGTCACTCGGTGACCTTATGGTGAAACCACATTAACTTGAACTACTGCAAGACTTCAATCTCATTAAAATCAGATCTTAGTTCCCACTGCCGCTAAACAAAGATCTGAGGACATCCCATTACGGGTCACGTCAGACTGACCTTTCGCGAAGTTTACCTGACCAAGGAAATGACTGACAAGAAGTCGACATTAGCCTATCAGAAGGCAGCTTTCTCGTGCTTTACAGCACTAATTTCAAATTGGCGACTACGCTTCGAAACATTTTGTCAAATTCTCGCTTAAAAATGTGAAACCAGAACAAAAGAGCATTCTCGAATGGCTAATATATGGTCTAGATTGTATAGATTTAGTCGTTAAGCCCGTAACTATCGTTCGGAATTCGCTGTTTTAAAGTTTTCGAGGTTGCATGATTAGAACTTTCTGACTGTCATGTTCATGATCTGGTAAGCGACGCTCTGATTGGTCGGATGAAAGGTCGTTCTGACGTGACCCCTAATGGGATGTCCTCAGATCTTTGTTTAGTGGTAGCGAGAACTAAGATCTGATTTTAATGAGATTGGCAAGACTTCATCTAAAGATTAATCTTACCATATATAGTCAATGGCCAGCTATTCCTCTGAGGATATTTGGAGGTGGGGTGAACAAGGTTTTTGCATTTATATAGCGATGTGTATGTGTGAGAGAGACTTACAATCATAGTGAGACCAAGTACTAACTTTTAACATCTTTTGCTAAGACGCAGCCGGGAATCAACCCACTGACCTTCCACACACTGGGCAAACGATCTATCCACAACACTACGAGGGTGGTCAGAAGTCAATAAACAATGCTATACATAATATTTGATGCTAACAATCTCCTCAATCATTGCCTCTTGGCAATCCTCGCAAAATTCACTTTGTTTGTCTTCTATTTCCGATTTAATGTTTGCATTTGTTTGTTTGTTTTCCATTTCCACTATTCCATTTGTGTTATGTGTCTGTAAATAATCAAGCCTGGACCAGATAAGTGATTGGGGATGCGATGACATTCATCAACCAAGCCATGTCAGTGAGCGTGACCATCTGATTATGTTAGTCGCCTACTGCGAAGAGCATGGGTGCTGAAGACCAGTTCTAACATGATCTTTATTGGTGACATCACAAAGTGGGAGTTCTGGAATTGTCGGTTTCATTGGGGTGGTCACTGACTTGATGATTTCAATAAATAGTTTGTTTTCAAAAAGTCAAGCATATTTGCAGGTTCTGTGCCTATTGATCTGAATGACTCCTGGCACATTAGTGTCAGATTTTACCGTATTCGACGTAATAAGCGCCCAGGGTGCTCTCAAAATTAGAAATAGGGGGCTCTTATTAGAATGTACTTTTGGTGAAAGAGTTAAAAGATCATAAATTTCGTGGTTTATGCTGACAGCCTTAAATGATACAAAAGAAAAGTCTGTGCGTATTATACACGACAGATATATTTTTCAACAATTTAATTCCCCGTAATTAAGGGTGCATATAACACACGTGTGCATATTATAACGAATTAATATGTCTTGTGTACATTGATCAATCGGAAGGGTGCTAATTGGGATTGTTCACTTGTCATTATATTAGCAAATATCGCCGGGGGCGCTTATTACTTCGAATACGGTAAGTCTGTTTCATTTGACTGATGTAACACAATCACCATATGATGGCACAGTGAGTGAGTGAGTGAGTGAGTGAGTTGGGATTTACACGGCAGTCATGATATCATGGTGGGGCACACCAGAAATGGGCTTCACACATTGTACCTATGTGAAATTATTTGTGATCATTTGTGGTCAGCCGCCTCCACCCCCTGGCATTTGAGAAGCACGAGTGTCTTGGCTCCCAGCATGGGAAGATAACGTGGAGCCTGTCCATATCTATGTCTGACTTGAGTTTCCCCTTTCAGATGACCCTGAGAAGAGAATACTGTGGGCTGCTGAGAACAACAAACTTGCAATCGTTGAAGAGACGTTGCAATCTTGTCCTCGACTTGTCCACTCCCATGATACCGACGGCTACACACCCCTGCATCGAGCATCATATAATGGACATCTCGACGTCGCCAAGGTGAGCCCCTCACAGATAATGGTTAGAATGGTCCCCCAGTAACTGATGCTTGTCTAACAGTGACTAAATGGATGGGACATCAGTCTCGAGATTATTTACAGACTGGCTTAGTCATAGTATTGAGCCTTCCACAGATAATTGTTAGAATGGTCCCCCAGTAACTGATGCTTGTCTAACAGTGACTAAATGGATGGGACATCAGTCTCGAGATTATTTACAGACTGGCTTACTCATAGTATTGAGCCTTCCACAAATAATTGTTAGAATGGTCCCCCAGTAACTGATGCTTGTCTAACAGTGACTAAATGGATGGGACATCAGTCTCGAGTTTGTCTTACCCAGACTTGATTATTTACAGACTGGCTGACTCTAGTATTGAGCGCTCCACTACAATCTGTAAGACCAGTCTGGAAAGTAATCCAGTGGTGCCCTGTACTATGCCTGAACAATTTCTTGTGAATGTTATAGATTATTTACAGAAAGTGTGGAAGGGGTATAAATTGTTTCGAAAAAGTTTCCTCAAAGTTTGTTCTCTTATGGTTGATCTCTGACAACATTTCAACTTGTACATGGTTTTAAGGAGCACACACAAACACAAATGCAAGCACTCACACACATGCACTTGTCACTCTTCATGGACGCTTATTACATGGAAATTGGAGGCTGGATTATTGCTCACTTTAGCATTAAATAAAACAAACAAAAAGGTTTTCGTGCTGAAATTTCATAGCTTTTTCTGTTGCCGGGTTGTTTTCTGACGAATAAACAATTCTTCAATTGTCAGAATTGATTATTGTTTTAACCAAATTATGAATACATAATCTGTTACAGTGCTTGTATTCCCATGGAGCAGACATCTTAGCAAAGACAGTGGATGGATGGCAGCCATTACACAGTGCGTGCCGATGGAACTCCACAAGTGTGGCTAGTTTCCTGCTGGACAACGGTGCTGATATTAATGCTCAAACAAACGGAGGATTAACTCCCTTACACTTAGCCTCATCGGAGCAAGACAGTCGTGAAACTCTGGAACTGTTGCTTATGAACCCTTTCATCGACCCTACCATTAAGACTAAAGTCGGGGAGACCGCCAAGCAGATTTGTCAGCGAACCAGTAGCCATCACTGGTTGTTTGAGATTGTAGAAGACAGCGTGAATAAGATTTGATTTTATATACATGCTGGATTTGTATGCTCTGAATAAAACCATGAAGGGATTTATGTAAGATTCCCAACTTAGTGCCCTTGGGGGACAAATTCAGGAAAAATATTATTTTGGTCGAAATTGAGATTTTTATATTTGTATTTTAACATTGAATTTTAACATTGCTTCAATGCAATGATGTGAAACTAAATATTAAAGACTCTTCTTCTATATTGTTCTTGTTATCTGTGAATTCTTTAATTTTCATATCACATTACTTAGCCAAAGCGTGAGTTGGGAAATATTACTGCTGCAAACCTGGAGCTGAATATCAGCCTCTAAACAGGTCTAGGTAAATCCCCCATGTGGGAGAAATCTTGTCAGATGGGATGCATGAATGTGTTATTGTGGAAAATGGGTTGCCGAAAGTGTTTGTGCAATTAATTGACATTTTCCAGCCAGTGAATTCTGTTTGAAATCGACTGCCTCCCTGGTCTAGTGGTAGAGCGTCCGTCGGAGAGCGGAAGGTCCGGGGTTCGCTCCCTGGCGGCGTCATACCAATAGACGTTAAAATATGGTACTTGTTGTTACCCTGTCTGGCCCTCGGCATTAAGGGGCTAAAACAAGGAATGGTCGGCTCGGAGTCAGTATACTGTGTCTGAGTGGGGTATTCATGTTAAACTGCGGCATGGTATCTCATTGTGCTAGCACTATAAATCGGAATCAGTCAGGACTAGTACAAGCAGCCACACACACACATGCATGCACGTCGTTATATAAGTGCAATAATCTTGGACGCGATGTTAAACCCCATTTCACCTCACCTCACCTGTTTGAAATCTGTGAATGATTATTTTCAGTAATATTTGGTCATTTAATGAATTGGGGATATTCAAACTGATTTAACAAACATATATAAGTTCGATAAACAAGGTTTCAAGGCCAGTTTTAAGGATTCCAAGTAGATGTGTTTGTGGACAGAGAGTTCGGCTATTTAATTCATTGTTATAACTTATGAACGATACTGAAAAACAATGTGTTGCTTTTTTTATCTTTAATCAATCATGATCATTAATCGATCATCAGCTGGCTCGCCCCCTCACTTTTACATTTCTGGCCAAATCTCTGGATTCCCTCAATTCCCAAGACTGATTGCCACAAGACAGTGGTGTATTTAGCAAGTGTTCTCCTTCTGGCAGCCATTTTGTATTGTATCTGAGGCTGTGTTTTATATTTTGTGTGTCCTTGATGAACACAGGTTAACGTCTTTGAACTCGTGTTGAATTTCGTCAGATATGTAGTAACCTCGGTTCACTCAAAGTTAAAAATCGAACGCTCGAACTGTCCGTCTGGGTGTCGTGAATATTTTATGTCTGTTTCAGTGTCTTTTGTCCGCTGAGACGTATTGAAATAAATGTACTCTCCCTGTTAAAAATAGTTATACCCAGACGTCCAAGTCTTAAAACACTTTCTCCACAATTTTACTTTTCACTTGGGAATTGGTTTTTAGATTCAGTTCTTCACGAAGCTGTTATTTTCTGCTCTTGGGCCGATATATTCTGTTGGGAGACCTGCCACGTGTCAGTTGTTAGCTTTGTTTGTTGTGGGGAAGCTCTGAGTGAAACGGGGGCAAGGGTGGCCCAGTCGTCTCAGGTGCCACGATTCGCTGTGCAGAATTGCGTCCCTTGGGCGCGCCAGAAACTTATGATTGTGGGTTCGAATCCCGGTTCGCTCCGATTATGTTTCTAGGTTTGTCAGCACCATACGCTCGTGGGTTTCACCGAATTGGTAAACGTCTGAGACCTGCATCACTTCCGGATTTTCTACCAAATTAAGCTGACACGCCCAGATATAACTGGAATGCTAGCCGCCTTAAACCCAACTCACTCACTCAATCAATGAGTGAACAGGTCTTAGACTTTTACGACAAAGGTGAAACCAACGAGTATGGTGTTGGCAAACCAAGGATGATAATCAGGTTGAATCTCGGAATCGAACCCACCTTCACAGTTGGTTGGTTGGTTGGTTGTTTTTCACCGCTCTCAGCAATATTCCAGCTATATGACAGCGGTCTGTAAATAATCGAGTCTGGACCAGACAATCCAGTGATCGACATCATTGACACAGAGGATTTTCATATTTTGGACCCCTTCCTTTTAAAAATCATGGATCCGCACCGTGAAGATCCGTGGTATAGAGGGATAGAATAGGTCTTCAGTAACCCATGCTTGCCGTAAAAGGCGACTTTGCTTGTCGTAAGAGGCGACTAACGGGATTGGGTGGTCAGGTTCGCTGACTTGGTTGATACCTGTCATCGGTCCCAATTGCGTGGATCGATGCTCATGATGTCAATCACTGGATTGTCTTTTCCAGACTCGATTATTTACAGACCGCCGTCATACAGCTGGAATATTGCTGAGTGCAGCGTTAGCAACAAACAAACAAAACATAGTACAGAGTGGTATCCAACGACTTGTCAGGACAGCCAAAAGGCCCGATCCCGTTCACCTTTAAATCGCGTTGCCGTGACGTTGTTAGTTGTGTCAACGTCCTTGCAGCTTTGTGACAATTATCAGTAATGCTTTATGTGAATATATGTCATGTCAAAGCGCACGTAAAATATCTACTTTCGCGGCCTGACAGCGCGTGTGATGCATCGGCTCACTGTGGCGGAGGTACAGTAACAAGATAATAGATACCACACGTCTCCCTTAACCCTGCAACAGCTTGGTAGACATCACGGCCCATTCACAGATAACTTGACGAGAGAATGTCTGATAGTTGAGCTGTTTTTTCAATGAAGTGACGGATTGGAACTCTCGGCTATATATACCTGTCTTTGAACGAAAGTATATATATTGTCGAGGTTTCATTCAAAATTGGTACTTCCAATCCTTAAGTATTCATATGCTACACAAAACAGTTAAGGACCGCCTAATTCGTTCATATTACTATAGTTAACCTGTCATGTCAGTGCGTTTGTTATGTCAAGTACAGTATATTTTCTCAGTATTTTATCTCGTCGTAGGCGACAGCCCAAACATGACGCTGCAAACACATTGATGACAAGGCGATATATTTATCCATGAGTAAGAAATATGAAACCGATATGTCTGTCCGCACTTGTCCTCAACTTTCCACCCCGTCTATAACGCCTCCTTGTCTCAGTATACCGCGGATCGGGATACATGCCAAGTATGTCCCTCGCTTCTCGTAAGGTTGGACTGAAAAAAGATCCGTCAGCCGTCGTGGGTGTGATTTTGATAAGGTACAACGCCTCAGACAAACTTTCGCCTGTATCAGTAGACCTATGGTACGCCATCAGCTGATGGTTATGACCTGCTCGGACAAGGGAAAAATATAAATCGTTGTTATATATTTGTTTTAAACATCATAAGATGTCCGTTACAGAGATTCCTTTGTAAATGATGTCACCCGTGAAGATCCGGGTTGGAATAGGTCTTCAGCAACACATGCCTGTCGTAAGAGGCGACAAACGGGAACGGGGTGTCAGGTTGTCTGACTTGGTTGATGCGTGTCATCGATTCCCAATTGCTGAGATCGATGCCCATCTTGTCAATCGCTGGAATGTCTGGTCCAGACTCGGTTATTTACAAAAAGGCGTCAAAAAGCTTGAATACTGTTGAGCGCGGCTTTAAACAAAAAACAAATGAAAGAAATGTTATTGATGTCCGTCACAGATATTCATTTGTAACAGATGTCCGTCACAGAGATTTATTTGTAATAGATGTCCGTCACAGAGATTCCTTTGTAACAGATGTCCGTTGTAGAGATTCCTTTGTAACAGATGTCCGTTATAGAGATCCCTTTGGAAATCAATTTACGTTACAGAGATTCATTTGTAATAGATGTCCGTTATAGAGATTCCTTTAGAATAGATGTCCGTTGTAGAGATTCCTTTGTAATAGATGTCCGTCACAGAGATTCCTTTGTAATCGATGTCCGTTACAGAGATTCCTTTGTAACAGATGTCCGTTGTAGAGATTCCTTTGTAACAGATGTCCGTTATAGAGATCCCTTTGGAAATCAATTTACGTTACAGAGATTCATTTGTAATAGATGTCCGTTATAGAGATTCCTTTAGAATAGATGTCCGTTGTAGAGATTCCTTTGTAATAGATGTCCGTCATAGAGATTCCTTTGTAATCGATGTCCGTTACAGAGATTCCTTTGTAATAGATGTCCGTCACAGAGATTCCTTTGTAATAGATGTCCGTCACAGAGATTCCTTTGTAATCGATGTCCGTTACAGAGATTCCTTTGTAACAGATGTCCGTTATAGAGATTCCTTTAGAATAGATGTCCGTTGTAGAGATTCCTTTGTAATAGATGTCCGTCACAGAGATTCCTTTGTAATAGATGTCCGTCACAGAGATTCCTTTGTAATAGATGTCCGTCACAGAGATTCCTTTGTAATAGATGTCCGTCACAGAGATTCCTTTGTAATCGATGTCCGTTACAGAGATTCCTTTGTAATAGATGTCCGTTATAGAGATTCCTTTAGAATAGATGTCCGTTGTAGAGATTCCTTTGTAATAGATGTCCGTCACAGAGATTCCTTTGTAATAGATGTCCGTCACAGAGATTCCTTTGTAATAGATGTCCGTCACAGAGATTCCTTTGTAACAGATGTCCGTTATAGAGATTCCTTTAGAATAGATGTCCGTTGTAGAGATTCCTTTGTAACAGATGTCCTTTATAGAGATCCCTTTGATATAGATGTCCGTTAGAGATTCCTTTGTAATAGATGTCCGTTACAGAGATTCCTTTGTAACAGATGTCCTTTATAGAGATCCCTTTGATATAGATGTCCGTTAGAGATTCCTTTGTAATAGATGTCCGTTACAGAGATTCCTTTGTAACAGAAGTCCTTTATAGAGATCCCTTTGATATAGATGTCCGTTAGAGATTCCTTTGTAATAGATGTCCGTTACAGAGATTCCTTTGTGATAGATGTCCGTATACCCGTGAAGATCCGGGGTAGAATAGGTCTTCAGCAACCCATGCTTGCCGTAAAACGTGACTATGCTTGTCGTAAGAGGCGACTAACGGGATCGGGTGGTCTGGCTCGCTGACTTGTCCGTTTTAGTGTTGATTCCATAATGACAGATGTCCGCTTTAGAGGTGAATCTGTAATGACAGATGTCCGTTTTAGTGATGATTCCATAATGATACATGTCCGGTTTAGTGATGATTCCATAATGACTGAT